AGCTACGTTTAAGCGGATTATAATAGCGCTATAAAATAATAACTCTATCTTTTCTTAATATTCCTTGATTTATTACTTCGAAGCGACGCTTATATATTTCATAAGTTCGATAATAGGTAATAATATTACAGGGAACTAGCTATTATCTGTTAGGTTAAATCGACTTACGATCTTTTCGACGTAGGCGTCGTATACTAAAGTTATCATCCGGTTTTCGCGATTACGTATTACCTGAATTCCTAAATATTAACTTACTAGCCTTAGCTTTTTTATTATATAGATAGTTTTTAATCCTTAAGCTACCTTTTAAGCTATAGAATTATTACTTTTATCGTAGATAAGTAATAGATCGTCGACGTATATTAGTACGAATACTTTCCTTATTAGTACATAAAATATACAAAGCTCTTCCAGGGAGCTTTAGAGTCTTAGACGGGTATGGGTACTCTCGAGTTCCCTAAACTAAAGTAGGAGTAAGTCTCAAAACCCGTATACTACTCTTATAGCGAACGCGTACTTCCTTTTTTATTTAAATCCGTTTAGTAGTTCGATTAATTTTAGGTCGTCCTCCGGTCGAGCTACGTTTAGGAAAGCGTTCTTAATGTCGAATTAATCTACCTTAGGATTAAAATAAGCCGCGAGTATTATTATTATTGTAGTGGTGCGGTGGATCTAGGCCACGTAGCCTTTTCGATGTCTATTTATATAGGTCACGCACTCATATTTTCATTAGTTAGACTTAGACCTGTAGCTATCATAGCCATCACAGTAGCTATAGCTATTTATTCGTTTCTTGCTATGCCTTTCTAGCTATCCTCGTTGCCCTTTTCTAGTCTCTTCTTCCTTTCCTAGCTGCTGTTTTTAGCTGGCCGATCAACCGATTACAGCTGTTTATAGCTGTGATTTAGGTCTGATCGGTACTGGGCCAGTTGTTAGCAGTTGGGCAGTCCTTTTCGTGCCTCCGTTAGCGTGCCTACGCTGCTCCTATTTAATGGCGACTACCTAGTAGCTCGAACCTTACCTTATCTTAAGAGTAACCTTTTACGACCGTTTTTACAGCTAATAGGTTCAGAATACGATGATCAGGAGATTCTCTGTCTTTTAGTTAATTAGGAGCTATTTTCGTAGCTCCAGAGCCGTTTTCGTAGCTTTCGGATTAAGCCTTTTCAGGTTAGGATTAACGGGAGGGCAAACAACCATAGCGACTATTAATAACTACGCTCTCTCATTAGCTTTTAATCAGCTTACCTAAAAGCTCGTCCGCCGATTAGTAGATCTATCTTATTCTCGTTTCTTAATTATCTCTTTTAAAGGAGCTATGCCCGTTTTTACCCGGTTTCGCCTTCGTTTTTAACGGTACCTAGATAGTAGTTTTTCTCTCAGTTAATCTAACTCCGTTACCGCTACTACCCCCCCCTTTTTATAACCTCGTACGCGCTTAAAGGCATCCGTTCTTTACCGATTAGTCTATTTTAATTGCAAGAGGCTTGCTGATAGCTCCGATTACCCTTGTTTTATCCCTACCAGCCAGTTACGGCACCTGGGGAGGTTTCTCTTCAACCGATAGGTACCACGATGCCCTTAATTACCATAAGATACCTTATACCTTATACCTACGAACCTGATCGGGAACCTACCAATTAATGCGAGAGACCTACAGACAATACCGAAACGAACGAATTAAATAGGATATTAAATAAGAAAGCCTAGGAAAATAGAAATAGCTATAGGATAGAAACGATTATAGGATAATGCTTAGAGACCCCTCTTATCGCCCTTACCGATATGTGGTTGGTAGGAAGAGCCTAGAGAGCCCCTAGAACCACGTACAGGGGAGGGATCGAGGGTTAAGAGAAGCCCGGTAGATGCTGCCGGACGAATAACAATTAGATACGAGTTAGAAACTGAAATAATCGGGTATGAATAGGATATATTAGTTAGTTTATAGGATTAGGATCAATTAAAAGGATCGGTAATAGCCATGAACAAGAAGGACGAAGATTATGTTATATCGTATAAGGATTATTTCTTTCGTTTCTTACGGGAGCTACGCTTGTTTTACCTACCCGTTATAGTTCCTATTTTTCGATTAATCCCTATTATTTCTTAGTGGCCTTTAATGGAACTAGCTCGCTCCTAGTTAATTAGGGTTAATCAGGAATAGGTTAATTAGGTTAGTTTATAGGTTACAGCTCCGCTAGCCTAGTTATTCTTATTAATTAATCTTTCCTACCGTTTCCTGTTAATCGTTAATTAAACTAGCTTAGCTCCTAGTTAGCAGCGATTAAATAGGTTCGGGATTAATTAGGATTAGGTTTAGTTAGGCACGGCTATAGTCAGTTACCCACCCCACCACCTACTTATTGCTGTTATAATCGTTCCTAGTTGACCCTATTTCTTCCTAACTTATCATATTAGCCTTTAATTAAACTGGCTAGCTTTTAATTAATTAGGGTTAATCGGGATTAGGTTGATTAAGTTAAACAGGAACGAGAGCCACCGTACCTATTGGTATTAGGAGTTTAATTGCTCCTTACGGATTAATTAAACTAAGGAGGCTATAGTAGTGCAGTAGATCTAGGCCACGTAGCCTTTTCGATGTATATTTATATGGGTCGCGCACTTATATTTTCATTAGTTAGACTTAGACTTGTAGCTATTACGATAGCTATTACAGCCATTAGCTATTCACTCGTTTCTTGCCATGCCTTTTCTCGCGATCCTCGTTACCCGTTTCTAGTCTCTCCCTTCTTTCCTTTCCTAGCTGCCGTTTTCAGCTAGCCGATCAACCGATTATAGCTATTTATAGCTATAATCTTGGTTGATCGGCACTGGGCCAGTTGTTAGCAGTTAGGCAGTCCTTGTTTCGTGCCTCCGTCAGCGTGCCCACGCTGCTCCTGTTCACTACGTAAAGGGAATAGATCGAGGATCAAGGGAAGCCTAATAGTATACTAGACGAATAGTAGAAATAGAAATAGAAATGAATTATAGGAACGAGTATTAAATAGGATATATTACGCTAATGTATAAGATTAGAACTAGTTAAAAATGATCAGTAATAGCCATGATCGAAAAGAACAGAAAGTATATTATATTATATAGGGATTATTTCTTTCGTTTCTCTTGAGAGCTACGCTTATTTTACTTATCCGTTATAGTTCCTATTTCCTAACTATTAATCTTTATTATTTCTTAGTAGCCTTTAATGAAACTAGCTCGCTTCTAGTAAATTAAGATTATTTAAGAATAAGTCGATTAGGTTAGTTTATAAGTTATAGCCCCGTTAGCTTAATTATCGTTATTAATTAATTTTTCTTACCGTTTCCTGTTAATCGTTAATTAAATCAGCTTAGCTTTTAATCGTTGGTAATTAAATAGGTTCGGGATTAATTATTTTAAGATTAAGTATTGTTAGGTACAGCTGTAGTTAGTTACCTACCCTACTACTTATTTACTATAGTTATAATCATCTCCTATTATTAGGATTACCTTATTTACTTCACTTATTCTACTAGCCGTTAATTAAACTAGCTAGCTTTTAATTAATTAAGGTTAACTGAGATTAGGTCAATTAGGTTAATTAGGCTGAATTAGAAACGAGAGCTACTGTACTAATTATTAGAAGTTTAATTATTCTGCAAAGAATAATTAAACTAAAGAGGCTATAGTAGTACGGTAGGTCTAAGCTACGTAGCATTTTAGATATATATTTATATAGATCTCGTACTTATATTTTCATGAGTTAGACTTAGACTTATAGGCATTACGACCTTAGAGTTATTTACTCCTCTCTTACTATGCCTTTTCTCGCTATCTAGCCATCCTATCTTTTCAGTCCCTTTTTCTTGACTGCCGTTTTCAGCTAGCTGATTAACTGATTATAGCTAATTATAGCTATAATTTAGGTTAATCAGCACTAGGCTAGTTATTGGCAGTTAGGTAGCCCTTTTCTCGTACCTCTATCCTAGTGTGCTCACGCTGCTCTTATTTATTATAAGTTACCTATAATTTCTTTTTATAAATTCATTACGGATTCCTTTCATAATATAAGCTATTTTTACTTAATGTTTTTTAATAATATTTAAATTAAAATAAAATCTTTAATTATAATTATAAATGTATTCTATTTATATATAAAATAAGTATATATATATTCTTTTTAAAAAATAACACCTTTTAAAAGAATATGTAATGAATAAAAAAGGGTCGCCTCTATAGCTAAAAATATAATAAATTAAAATCGACTCTCCTTAAAGATACCTTTTCATTAGTATAAGTATCTCTATATTTTATATTTCATTACCTATTGCATACTTTTCTATTTCTTTTTTCAGCAAGTTTATTGAGTTATTATATTTAAAGGTTATATAATGAACAGGAGCAACGTAGCCACGCTGTAATGGAGGTACGAGAAAAGGTCTGCCTAACTGCTAAAAATTAGCCTAGTGCTAATCGAACTAGATTACAGCTGTAAATAGTTATAATCAGTTCATCGGCTAGCTGAAAACGGCAGCTAGAAAAGACTAAAAAGGCAAGATGAGATAGGATAGCAAGAAAGGGCAGTTCAAGAAACGAGTGAATACTATAGGTTATAAACTCTATAAGACTAAGTCTAACTGACGAAAATATAAGTACGAGACCTATATAAATATACATCTAAAAGTCTACGTAGCCTAGTCCCACCGCACCACTACAGTAATAGCTTTACTGTTTATAAAATAATAAGAATAGAATATTAAAAAATTAAAAGATTATTATATTAGAAAGGTTATGATAACTTTATTTTCATTAGAATAACATTGAAGTATGTAAGCGAGGCTACGATAGCTATAAGGATAAACACTCTCTTATTATAACCTAGATAGCTTAAATAAATACATCAAACTATAATTTATAAAAATTCCTTATAAGAGTAATTAAACAGCAATTACGCTACGTTTTCTAAAACCACTTCTGTATAATTTGAAATTGATTTATTATATATAGTTAGTATTTAAAACCTTTATTTAATGTACTTAAAGTAGCCTGACATAGTTATAGTCTATGCGTACCTCGCAGATAATATACTATATACCTAGGTGCGTTACCTGTTACTATCATGAGAGTCGCAAATGTGTACGTCTACGGAGAAGGGTGCCTTCAATGTATATTTGCCCGACACGAATTTTGCCGACCAGCCACAAAGCGCGCGCAGTATAAGTTGAATCTGAACGGGATGACCGAGTGCATCTACGCTACCGCCAGTTATGGCTCGGTCAGTAATAAACAGCCCACTCTACCCAAACGCCGCAGCCATGGAAGGTAGGGCTATGATACATTCCACACTTGGTGCCATGAATTGCATCCTGAGGTGGACTTTATCGAGCCAGGAACTGAGGCTTCTATGGGCAAGATACTACATAGCCTGGACATCATCGGTTGGGTCGATGAAGAGGGATGGTAGGATCTACCCGCTCTCCCTCAGCGAGCGATGGTGTAAGACTTGACCATGCAATCGTGGTTCCCTGTTGCTGGGTGCTCTTGACCTGCCCTTGGAACCCGTCGTCACCGATTAGGCGAGGAATGCTCGCTTTCGGCGTAACTCTCTCGTTGGTCCTGTTCGTCGGCTCGTGAGACTGCCCTTGGCGTTCCAGTGGGTCATGCCTGGATCTCCCTTCAGCATTACCTCCTGTTTCTGTACCACCGACGCCTTGATCATCAAGGGGTGCCATTCTGTCAATCCACTCAACCTGGGACGATGCCCTAGGAACGAGAACTGAATTCGTATCAACACAATCGTAGAAGAGCATGAACACCCCACCTTGTGCCAGAACGATCTCCTCGGGTACTTCCCACACGGTTTCGTCGCTTAGGCGCCACCATCTAGCTTGCCGGTCCAAGGTCTCACCGTCGCCTCCGTCTACGTTGTCCGATATACTTTCTACGTCAACTTGTTCGGCCTTTCCGTTTCCCTCAAGCGATCTAGGACTATCGCTGTCATCGCGTTTTGATGGTCGGCCGGGGTGCCTTCGGTAGCAGACGTAATGTCCATTTTCGTGTCGACCTTGATGGGTTATGACCGCCCGCAGCTCGTAGATCGGACCCCTGATTCTCGGTCGTTTTAGGCCCCCCGAGACCATGGACGATTTTGGATCTATAATCCAACATTCTTCATCCTTGGGTTGTACAGTGGAGGGGTAGGTATCATCCGAGGGGCCTGCTGGTCCAGCTGCGCTTCCCAGACACCACGGCCCCAGGTCCAGCGTCATCGGAAATCGCACCGCTGCTAGATTTTTAAACATGTGACCCGTGTGTTCGTCAAACACGGAGCGATTCAAATGGATGGCAAGACTCTGCGGTGGCCGCGCTACTGCTACTTGCTTTGTTTTGGTGGAGCCGACACGGCTCTGAGATTTGCATTTCTCTCGCAACGTTTTGTCCTGGAAATCGTCTTCCTCAAGGGCGAGTTCGACAGCTTTGAGGCGTGAAATCGGTTCCTTGAAATCGGCTTCGCTTGCCCCAACCTCTTTACTCCGAGATATAATAATATTGAGGAGCCTCTGGAGTTTCAGTAAGGTGCACTTGGCGCACTCGACACCATCGATGGTCTCTAGGTCGGTGTAGGAATCTAGTCCTTCGTATAACTCATGCTCTGTTTGCTGCAGCCCAAGATTAAGGGTGAGGCAATTAAATGGGATCATGACCAGGCCTTCGGAATGGCCACATTGAACACACACGACCCGCTGTGCCATGAGGCCCTCCAGCGGATTTCTTAGAACCCTCACGGTTGATGTGGATTTAGAATAGACTGGTAACGACTGATAGCCGCTATCATCGCTATGCTGGCTGTCCTCGGTATCGTCTCTAATGCCGATCATCTCGAATACCGAAGAACGATGTTGGGCTCCGACCACCTTTGCCACCTCTCTATCGATCTCGTCTAGGATCTTGGAGAAGTATTCTTGAGCGTCTTGCTGTTGCCATGTGTCGAGAGACTTCAACTTTTTGGGCGTCCACAAAGTTTTTCCATTGTAATCGGGATCGGTTAACTTCCATATGAGGTCTCGTAGCGAACCCACCGATGTCGCCCCCCTTTGGTCTTGGGATTGTTCCCGCTCTGAAACCCACGCCAGGTATGCTGGAAATGTCTCCAACGACGACAGACCCTGGAGGATGCTGTTCTGAAAGCAAGAATTATCGTAGTTTCCTAGGCCAGGCGGTCGATCGGTATCTTGTTTTATTGGCGTTATACCTGGCAAGGATGAAAGGCTTCTCCTGCCTACGTTCGCGACGGAAGTGATGATGCCTCCTGGTCCGTCCATTCCAAGTAGCCTTCGGAGAATATCGCTCTTCTCGACGTGTGATCGGGGCTGTGGGGCGAGAGTGGATGCGGGAATCGGGAAAGCCGGTGCATGCAGCCAGTTCTGGGCAGCATAGAGCAATCTGGCGGGGATAATGGTAACCACGAAATCCCAAAACAACTCCCCAGGCCGTCTCGGTCTGACAAGGGAATACGAGGCCGGTAAGGGACGGCAAATAATGGTGAGGAGGAACACGACGACGAAAATAATGAAGCTAGGCTGTTGTAATCGATCCAGCAGGGCACCCTGGGCGTCGTAGGAATAATAACCACTGGGACGGCCAACCGTTGCGTCAAGGTGGTAAGAGGGCATCCTGGTTATTAAATTCGAGGCTATCGAGCGTAACAATGTGACGATGATGGGGATAGAGAAGGCTAAGGCAGCGCGGATCTCTCAGGTTGCTTCTAGGGGACCGTGGCCATGACAATAGGAAGGAGAAAATAACATCTCCCTTTCCTTCTTAAGTAACTGCCTTTGTTTGGCCTAAGATTTTACACACGTGTGTCGACGTCTGTAAGGAGAGTTGATGTGTTGGTGGGCGTAGATGGAGGTGTTGAGTTTCCGAAACTAATAGAATGAAGAGACGGCACATGTGAGCGCAAAGCGCCACTGATAAATTAGTTAAGCCAGGTCACCGCTCCACGGACCACCCCTTTACGACAACCGCGTTCAAACATATAAACGCGTGTTTTTACGCGATGGCTTCGTTTGTAAAACTTATAATTTCTTAAGTAGGTTTAATTCTTCATAATTAATTATATAATTAATATATTTCTAAATTCCCATTAAGTTTTATAATAATTAAAATAAAAATACTTTAATGTATGTAAATACTATTATATAATATATTAAATATTATATGTATATCTATCAAGTTACTTTTAAATTATATTCTTTTCATTTTTATTTAATACAATATATAAATAGCTAATCGATAAAAAATAACTAAATAAAACTCGTTGAGCTTTATTATTTATTTTAAAAATATTACTTTATTAAGTTGTTGTAAAAGCTAAGCTAAGCTTTACGCTAGCGTTTTTAATTTAAATTTTTATCTCAACGTCTCTTAAGCGCTAACGGTAATTTTTAGAAGCTTAAAAAGTATTAGTATTATCGTTTTTTAACTAGAAACTAAGATGTTAAAATTACAAAACCTACGAAAATTAATTATAAATAAATTAAAAGCATACTGTAGTGGTGCGGTGGATCTAGGCTACGTAGCCTTTTGAATGTATATTTATACGGGTCTCGCACTCATATTTTCATTAGTTAGACTTAGATCTATAGGCATCACGACCTACAGCAATTCACTCGTTTTTTACTATGCCTTTCTAAAGCCCCCCTCTTTGCTATTCTTCTCTTTTAGTCCTTTCCTAGTAAGGAGGAGCAGAGCGTACGCGATGCTGGAGTCCCGGATAGATTCACTTGAAAGTGCATTCTATCGAAGACTACGGTACGTACGATGGTCTAAGATAGATAAAACTAGTATTACTATACTAATCGAGAGACGAGGAATCTAATATAGTTATTATATCTTAGTTATATCCCTTGGTCGTAGAGATATAATAATCGCTAGCCCGAAGGCATAAGAGGTAAGGAAAGAAAAGGGGCAAAACGTAAAAGTTACTTATTTAGTTATAGCAGTACGACGAAGTAACTTAAACGCTTATAACTAAGATAGATATACTAATCGGAGAACGACGAATCTAATGGTAAAAACGAATCTTTAATTAAGGTAAAAATAATAAAGATAGTAATCTAATTAGGTAGTAAACTCGATGATAAGTATAACATAGCCCGTACTTACGGGAGCTATGGTTACTCTATATAGGCATAAGGCCTATCGTAGCATGTTACGTAATGCATTAAGAGGGCATGTCTTACCGTACCACTATACTAGCTACCGTTTTCAGCTAGCCGATTAACTAACTACAGCTGTTTACAGCTGTAATATAGGTCTAATTAACACTAGGCTAGTTATGAGTAGTTAGGTAGTCCTTTTTTCGTGCTTTCATTACAGCGTGTCTACGCTGCTCCTGTTTAATAGTAATGAAAAAGTCAGTTTAAACAAAGAGTACATAGCTATAGATCGTAATGCCTATAGGACTAAGTTTAATCTATAAAACGATAAGTATAAGACTTGTATAAATATACATCTGAAAGGCTACGTAGCCTAGTCTCGCTACACTACTACATTACTTAAAGCGCCGTTAAGAATTATTAGATATTTATTATAATCGATATTTATACAGTACTTTAAAAAAAAGTAACAAAAAGAATATCACGTAGAGATTACACCTTAGGTTGCTCTTTTTTATTACTTACCTCAGTAATAAGAGCTCTTATATATACGCTCCCGTTACTTCTATTCTTTTAGTTAGTTTTTAGATAAAATAAGACCTTTTTCCCTTAACTCTTTCTTCTGTTACTCGTAAGATAGCTCCTCGCGCGCAGTTTCGTATACGTAGCTCTCGCTAGCTACGTAACAAAGGCCCTAGTTAATATTAAGGTATAATACGTAATTAACCTAGTACCTACGGAAGATAAGCCTAGCTATTATAAGTACAGCCTATAGGCCGTACTTTTTCTCCTTTTTCTCTCCTCGTTTAGCTTTAGTTTATTAATATACGGCTTTTACCTAGCGAATAGCTCGTGAAACCGTAACACTTAGTATAGTATACTTTTCTTTTTTTCTTTTTCGTATCTATTACGGTTTTAAGAGCTATTCGCTAGGTAAAAGCCGTATGTTAATAAACTAAAGCTAGACGAGGAGAAAAAGAAAGAAAGTATGCCCTATAAGCCGTACTTACGATAGCTAGCCTTATCCTCTGTAGGTATTAGTTACGTATTATGCCCTGGTACTAGCTAGGGCCTTATAATAAGTATAGCTTATTATATAATGTCCTCTCCCGGAAAAAAAAAGTATGCCTTGCCGTTCTTTTCTTCGGCGTTTAGCCTTAATAACCTAACCCGTTTTCCTTCCTTACGCCTTAGGATACGTACCGTATCCTTAGGTGCTACCTCCGTCCTCCGGGATACGTTATTCGCTCCCCCGGTTACTAACTCCGCCTCCTAAGGTATTAGTATATCCCTAGGCCTCTTTCCGTTTATTTCCTAGGGTATTAATACCCCCCGGGTATACCCTCCTTCCTCTCCTCCCCGGCGGTTATATTATACCCCGGGGTCTCTTCCTCCGCCGTTTCCTTTCCGGGGCCTTTCGTTTCCCGGGGTATTATACTGGGTACCTCTAGCCCCCCGGCGCTCTTTCCTCGGGTCTTACTTTTCCCCGGGATTTCCTCCTCTTTCTTCTTCCTATCCGGAAGCTACTTCGTATCCCCGGGTATTACCTCCGTTCCCCGGGGTATTACTACTTCCCGGGGGTTTCCTCCTCCTCCTCCGTAGGTCTTCCGGATTTCTTAGCCTCCCAGGTATGCTCTCCCGGTAGCTACTTCTCCCGAAAGCCTCCTCTTCCTATCCTCTTTTTCCTAAAGTATTACTAACGCTTTAGATATTATCTAGCCTCTCGGTATATTATTTCCTTAGGGCCGTCGTTTCCGTTTCCCGGGTTACGTTATCCGCTTCCCGGGCTATTATTTTCGTTTCCTAGGATATTACTACTTCCTGGTGGTTACTAGTCCCGATCCTTTTATTAAACCGTAAAGCTTTAAAGCCTTATATACGAAGTTATATATAGGCGCCTACTAGGTCTAGCCTAGCTCCCGTAGTTACGGGATCGTCGATTCGTTTACCGCCGTTTAAAGACCCTCGTTTATTTTCCGCTAGCGGAGCGAAGGCTCCGCCTAAGGACGTACTAAGGCGCGCCCTTCCGTTTATTATTAAAAGGCCTAAGGCCTTTCCTACCGTTTAAAGGCTAGGGGCTTATCCGTATTATTAACGGAGCGGCGAAGCTCCGCTGGAGGACGTGTTAATAATACGCTATTCTTATTCGTTTAAAGATTATCGTTTATCTTTCGCTAGCGGATCCCGTCGGATCCGCTAAAGAACGTATTAAAGTACGCCGTCTGATTCGTTTAAAGACTATCGTTTATCCGTATATTACTAGCGGAGTTTAAAGGGCTCCGCCTAAAGGCGCGCGGAGGCGCGTCCTTCCGTTTATTACTGAAAGGCCTAGGGCCTTTCCGTAAACCGCTAGCGCCTTTAGCGCCCTTGTCGATACTACTAAGAAACCGGTGGTTTCTCCAAAAACCGCTAGTACCTCTAGTACCCTTATCGAAGTACTATTATTCTAGCCGAAACCTTATCGTATTTCCTGCTATTTTAACGCCGTTCCTTTCTTATATTACGCCTCGGGCGTTCTTAACTCGCGCCTCGGGCGCGGCTTAACTTCGTAAGCCCTATGCCCTAGCGCTTTACTATCTTTCTCTGGGAAAAAAATTTTTTGCCGTTTTTAACCGTATTTTTCGTCGTTCTTATCTCGAAATCACCATCTAAACTACGTTTTCTTGGGATGCATCGGTCGTTTTCTTCGGGTTATCTTATGTCGGCCCTCTTTCGTAGACTACTACCAGCGCGTATATCTAACGCTAATACCGCTTTTCTAACTACTAACTTTATCGGCTACCTCTTCCTTAAGTACTAGTATCGCTTTTCCTATTATTAATCCCGCGTATTAAGATATACTAATCTACTATCGTCGGTTCTCTTTCGTAGGTACCGCCGGCGCGTATATCTAAAACTAATACCGCCTTTCCGATTATTAGCTTAGTACCGCTTCTTTAAGGGCTATATCGCCGTTCCTACTACTAATTCCGCTCGCTTCGATGCTAATCCATAAAACGATAAAAGAAGGTTGGTCTAGCTTTTTATTACGGTTTTAAGAGCTATTCGTTAGGTAAAAGCCGTATGTTAATAAACTAAAGCTAGACGAGGAGAAAAAGGAAAAAAGTATGTCTTATAGGCCGTACTTACGATAGCTAGCCTTATCCTCCGTAGGTACTAGTTACGTGCTATGCCCTGGTACTAGCCAGGGCCCTATAATGGGCATAGCCTATTATAGTATCATTTCATTCTTTTAATATATACCTTTTTATCTACTAAAAAGCTCTTAAAGTCGTAAATTACAGTTATAATCTCGTCTACTTAACACTGGGCTAGTTATTAGCAGTTATTGTTCTTATCATTTTGTTACTTATAATATACTAATACTAAATAAGAGCAGCGTGGGCACGCTGTAATAGAGGCACGAAAACTGCTACCTAACTGCCAACAACTAGCCCAGTACCGATCAACCTAGATCACAGCTGTAAACAGCTGTAATCGGTTGATCAGCTAGCTGAAAACGGCAGCTAGGAAAGGCTAGAAGAATAGAATGACAAAAAGGCAGTTCAAGAAAGGAGTGAATGCTGGAGGTCGTAATAGCTACAGGACTAAGTCTAACTAATGAAAATATGAGTGCGAGACCTATATAAATACACATCCAAAAGGCTGCGTAGCCTAGTCCCACCGTACTACTACAATACTATTCTTTTTAAATACTCATTTTAAGCATTTATATGTTAATACTAAATAGCTGGTTAATAAAAATAAACCTAAGCTTTTTAAAAGAATTATAACAAGGGTATATAAATATTATAATATATTAAATTAATAAAAATCTAAATTATATATACATATTTACTTTACTTTAAATATCTTTATATATTTTACTTATTTCATTTTTTTAAATAATGTCATCTTTAAATTAATTACAAAATTCTAAAAAAAATAATTTTAAAGGATATTATTATATAAGTATTATAAATAATTTTTATATATAATTTCTATTTTTCTTTTAAAAAAAACAATTTTTAAATTTATATAAAGCGATTTTAAAATTAAAGAGAGAAGTAATATTAATTATATAATTAGATATTATTTTATTAAGCGATACCTAATTTAAATTAATTAATTAAAAAGTAAATTATTTATTTAAGACATAATTTTAAATAAGGAAACGTTTATACTTGAAATGAAAATTTATAAAAAGAAAAATTTGTTTTTAAAACTTAAAATGTATTGATGTTATAAATTAAGTTATTAATAACGTAGTTAAATTTATAATCGAAGCTTTAGATCTTGTAACTATACCTTAAAGTAAACTGAGAGTCACAATGCCTTAATTACCTCGTTCTAGCAAGGTCTCAGATCAGCCCAACTAGTCTCCTGTACCTTACCTCAACCTCTAACCGGATTAAGCGAAAAACCTGCTTTATGCTGAGCTTTTCCCCTATCACCTAAACTTTATCCCTATTTCGTACAAGGGTTATTAAATTCTCAGTTCTAACCACCGTATAAACGTATACTTGATTTATTCTTTTTCGTGATCAAAGTTGCCCTAGAAGCGTTCGATAAATAATTAAATAAGCGGTGGTGGTGGTGGTGGTAGTGGTGGTGGCAGTGGTAGCGGTGGTAGCGGCTTAAGTAATCAAAAGGATCTCATCCTAACTAACTAGTGGAGTAAGGTCGTAGGAAAGAGCCAATAGAATCTTTAGGAAGCCGTGACCCGCTTTGGGGTGAGGTTCAGGGGACTAGTTGGGCTGATTCGTAGACTCCGTTCCAGCCACCGGCTAGTCTTCGCTCCTTAGCTAGCTCTATGACTGTTTCTGCAGCTCTCCGAGACCCTGTCGTTCAAATTGCCTGGCGTTCTATTAGACGCCTGTTTCTCGTTTCCCTTTGATCTCTAAGTGCTTCCTCTCTTCTGGCCCACCTCCTACCACTCATCCTCGCGTCGTATCCAGCCGCGCATTACAAGTCAGAATGTCGACCTCAAAATTCCCGACAATACCAGGAACCGTCGAGCCTTCAATCCTAGAAGAAGAAGGCCAGGCGGGCATAGTCAAAACACCGCTTCTAACTCCAACTTCAACCAGCCGAGTCCCCGAGAAGATTCCCCTTACCACCGACCAACAATCAAAGTACGAATGGCTCCTAAGGCAGGCCAATGAATGGGTTGAAGTGCATTCCACCAAAGGCCATAGCGGCCCACTGACCGACAGTGAGAAAATATGGCTTACGAGGGAATGTCTCCTACGGTATCTCAGAGCCACCAAGTGGCATGAAAAGGAGGCAGAGAAGCGTATACTGGAGACCCTGGTTTGGCGAAGAGAGTACGGTGTTGAGGAATTGACTGCGGACCACATCGGCCCGGAGAACATGACTGGGAAGCAGGTCATCCTAGGCTATGATAAACAATGTCGACCATGTCATTACCTGAACCCTGGACGTCAGAATACTGATGTCTCTCCACGACAAGTCCAGCACTTAGTCTTTATGCTCGAGCAAGTGATTGAGCTTATGCCTGCTCAACAAGAAACACTCAGCCTCCTGATCAACTTCAAGCAGAGCAAACACCGCTCAAATACTGCTCCTGGCATTGGCCAAGGTCGCGAGGTATTGCACATCCTCCAAACGCACTACCCAGAGAGGCTAGGGCGGGCTATGATCATCAATGGTAAGTAACTATCATAATAGCAGGAGTTGCAGAATACAATCATTTAACAAACTTTGTAGTTCCTTGGGTTGTCTGGGGCTTCTTCAAACTGATCACTCCTTTCATCGATCCCTTGACAAGGGAAAAGTTGAAATTCAACGAGGACATGACCCAATTTGTGCCAAAGGAGCAGTTGTGGGCCGAGTTCCCAGGCGGCCAGCTCCAGTTCGAATATGACCACGATATCTATTGGCCTGCGTTACAGAGGCTGCGAGCTGAAAAACGTGCAGAGAGAGTAAGGCGATGGGAAATGGGCGGTAGAAAGATTGGAGAGGCTGAAGATTATCTGAAGGGCCAGGACCACCAGGGAACATGGCCACCATCAATTGGCGGTCCTGCTCGAGTGCCTGCAGAGATTGCTGTTAAAGCATAGTAAAAGCGTACAAAGCTTATGTAGTGAAACATTAAATATATTAATAATAATCGTACTATTTTTTATAATAATAATAGCTTAATATAATTTAATAAGTAATATTAAAAGTATATATCACGTGGAGGTTGCGCCTCTTAGTTGCTTACCTCAGCAATAGGAGCTTCTATATATACGCTCCTGTTGCTTTCATTCCTTTAGCTAGTTCTTAGATAGATCTAAGATCTTTTCTCTTCTTTCGCTCCTCTTCTCGTTGCTCGTAAGATAGCTTCTCGCACGCGTTCTCTCGTGCACGTAGCTTCTTTACTAAGCTATGTGATAGTATATTAAATAAATAAATATTTATCCTATTAGTAATATATTTTAAATATTTTATATACTTTATATATATAGAAGTTAGAATGCGCTATGCTTAATATTAATACTTTAGTTAATACTATAACTTAGTATATAATCTTGCTTTTAGCAATAGGAGAAGATGAAGTTAGTAGTTAGAAGTATAATTTATAAAGCGTACATTTTCTTTTTTTCATTTAGCTTATTAATAAACGACTTTTACATAGTGAATAGCCATTAAAACTATAAGAAAAGGCTAGATTAAACCTTTTTTTTATAAATTAATATCTTTACTAGCGAAATTAATAATAGGAAAAGCGATACTAGTATCTATAGAAGTGATAGTTAATTAAGTTAGTAATATAGTGGTGCGGTGGATCTAGGCCACGTAGCCTTTTCAATATTTATTTATATGGATCGCGTACTTATATTTTCATTAGTTAGACTTAGACCTGTAGCTATCATAGCCATCACAGTAGCTATAGCTATTTATTCGTTTCTTGCTATGCCTTTCTAGCCATCCTCCTTTACCCGTTTCTAGTCGCCTTTCTTTCCTTTCCCAGCTGCCGTTTTTAGCTAGCCGATCAACCAATTACAGCTATTTACAGCTATAATCTTGGCTAATCGGCACTAGGCCAGTTGTTAGCGGTTGGGCAGTCCTTTTCTCGTGCCTCCATCACAGTGTACCTACGCTGCTCCTGTTCAGTAATCAGAACGGTAGTGTTAGCTTTTAGATACGCATACTAGTACCTATATAAAAGAGAACCGACGGAAAAAGACCGAAAAACGAAAATAATGTAGATTAAATAGTGGTTTCAAATAAATATTGTGATTCCAAAATAAAATATAATAAAAAACGTTCGGTAACGTTTAAATTAACAAAATTGGCATATAGAAAAGCGAAAACTCTTTTTCCTAAAGAAAGATAGTAAGGTGCTAAAGCCTATCGCTTAATAGAGTCAAGTAGCGTATAAAGTGTACGTAAAGAGCGCCTAGAGCGTAATATAAGAAAGGAACAATGTTAAAATAATAATAAAAACAAGAGGTTTTATGTTAAAATAATAGTATCTTAATAAAGGCGTTAAAGGCGCTAGCGGTAAGAAAAGTATTAAACCTCTTAATAAACGAGAGCGCGCGCTTTAATACGCCTTTAAGCAGAACTCAAAAAACTCTATTAATGAACGGAAAGGCCCTAGGCATTTTGACGATACTTTAATGAGGGTACTAAAGGCATTAACGGTATGAAAAACCCCCAAGCATTTTAATAATAGTATCGATAAGGGAATTAAAGGCGTTGGTAAAAGGAAAAGCCTTAAATCTCTTAGTAAATGAAAGAGCGCGCCTTAATACGCTCTTAGGCGCAGCCTGAAGAGCTATGCTAATAAATACAGATAAATAATAGTTTTTAAACGATCGGAGATAGCGTATCTTAATACGTCTTTTGACAGATCTATACAGCTCCGTTAATAGTACGAATAAGCCCCTAGTCTTTAAAAAGAGAAAAGGCTTTAAGTTTTAAATAATACGTAAAAAGGCATACCTTAACGCGTCCTTGGGCAAAGCTTTAAGAACTTTGTTAATGAAAGAATAGATCCTAAGAAAAGATGTTACATAGAGAGCCACTTGTATATGGCTCCTTACTCCTTCTCGAGTTACTTGCTTACCTAACATAGCTCCTAGCTCGCTTATGTAATATAGCTCGTAGCTCCCTATCGTTTATATATAGGTAGCTTATATCTCCTTTATTAATCTTCTTTTTTCTTAGATAGTTAGTTAATTTACCTTCTTCTTCCTACCTTCCGTTACTCCTAAGAAGCAACCTTAGTACCTACGTAGCTCTCCCGATCTACGTATTAGTTATAAGCCCGGTAGCCCTTCTAAGGAGCTAAGTTAACTAAGGTCTTACTATATAAGCTTCCGAGTAATCTTATTATTTATCTTTATCTCTTTAATCTTTCGATTAATCGTTTTTCTTTTAAATATCGCTTTCGTTTTCTTCTCGAGTAATATATCTATAGTAATAATTAATACTAACGGAAACTTTTCTATTAAGAAGCTACCTATTAATATTAACCTACGTAACTTCGACGAATATTTACGATAGTTTATTACTTTTTAAAACTACGCCGAGTAATTCGATATCTAGAAGGATATTAATCCTAACGTAAACGATTATAAGTTAAGCTCGGCGATACTTTTATCGCTCGAAGAATTTATTACTTAGGAAAAGGAACGAGCGAGGAAATAATATTTCTAAGCTCTCTACGAGTAGGTTAAGAAAGATCCTAAGACCCGTAGGGAGGAGCCGAAAGCTTTAACCGAAAACCCGCGTTACCTCTTTATCGAAGAATATAAGTAATTACTCGAATAAAGTCGCTCTTAGGAATCTTAAGTTATTATCGCCGGTAAAAGTTACCGAGCTTTCTATTATTAGATTATATTCTCGGTCTTTATTAATTATCTCGAGTTCGTCGGTATATAACTTAAAGCTTAGGGACTTAAGCTAAACGTTTAAAATACCGTAAGATTACTCCGCGATTACTTCGCTCCTACCTTTATTATTATATAAACGCTCGTTCGTTAGGAGTACCGCGAGGTCTTATAGAAGGTAAAGGCGGGTACCTTTTACGGCGAGTAATTCTTTACTATATGAAATAACGCTTACTACCGAGCTTTCGCTTACGATATTAACGAAATCCGAGGCGTATTCGAAGTAAAGGACTTCCTCGAAGCTATTAGAGCTAAGATCGCTTTAAACTAGGTTATTCGCGCGACTATTAAACTAACTACGGCGGACCGGCTTAAACGATAGCTACTTTTCCTTATAAAGTTAAGTAAAATATTTAAAGCTTTTATTTCCGAGGATAAGAAGATAGGTAAATCGGGCCTTTATATCTTAGCTACGTATTAAAGAGTTACTTTAGGATATAAAGCCGGAGCGACTAACGCTAGTAACTTTAGTAGCTCTAGTAGCTCGACCGATAACGCTAAAGCTAATAAGTATCTATATAATAAATAATACCGTTAGGCTCCGGAGGCATACGTTAACCTTTAATTCGTTATTACTAATAAAACGCTACGATAAATCTTATATATGCCCGACGACGTAAAACTAACTATTAAATAACGGTATAACTTAAGCGACTTTGCCTTATTCCGAGCCTTTATTAAAAGCGACGGATAAAAGGTTACCGCTCTTAATTAAGGTAGCTCCTTCGGAATTAACTTATCTCAGAATAAGCGTAATAAGAATAATAAATAATCCGGTAATATTAACGTAACGGTAATCGACTTACGTATTATTTATATAACCTTTAACGTAGGGGTATTTTTTATTATAAATCTAATACAATATTCCCTTTTCGAGAGTATAGTCTTCGATAATTACGGAGTTATTTACCTTATTAATAACCGGGATTTATTAGTCGAAGGCTCCTTCGCTTTCGCTAAAGACGGGTAGACTATCGAAGCTAGTATTACGAGCTTTTCCATTACCGGTACTAGTATACGAATTATTAAGAACTACCTTTAAGATAAATCGGGTAAGCTTACGATCGACCTTACGCTTAAAGACGTTATTTTCGTTAAAGATTTCTATATTAATATTATTTCCGAAGTAAAGCTTTTTATTATTAATATCTAGTACTATGGTCTTAATTACTTTCTTCGCCGAGGGTCGATTAAGAACGGATATATTATAAGAAAGTTCGAACGTCGTTATAACCTAATGTTCTTTAAATTTAAATAATTTTTCGTTTATTTATAAGTTTTTCTTATAATACCGCTACGTACGCTTATAATAATACCATATAACGTAATATCGCTCGTTACTATTCCGACGATTAAAGGAAAAGAAACCTAATAAAGAAAATCAAGAGATTAAATAAAACCGAGAAAAGGCTCTAAGTAATTCTAGTACCTTAAAGCGGGGTACCTAGGCCCGGAAACGCTTAAAGTACTTATAAAGTATGCCTAGAATATCGAGATTAACGGTATGCCTACGCTTAAGTACGAGTATTATAGGCTTACGATAGGCAAGAGAGTAATCTTACGCCGACTATTATTATATCGCTCGCTACGCCTTTTTTAACGTATATATTAGGATTTATTTAACTTTCCGGAAGGATACGACGGCTTTAAATAAATACTCGTTATTAGAAATAAATATAGCGGAATGCTTTAAGTAGAGATCCTTAAGAGTAAATAAAATTACTTAGTTACGAAAACCATTCGATTCTTTAAAAGATAAATACGACGATAGTTCCGTCTCTCGATCTATAAGTTCCGATACGATAACGAACGAATTATAATCGGGATTAAAGGCCTAACCGGATATAAAATCTAGGCTTAGGAAGAAGGTATTAATTTCGAGCTACTACCGGCTAATACTAAAGAGCTAATTAATAAGGGTAAGAAAGCTAGATAGTTTATTATCGTTAAATCAATTAAGATAAGGATAGGAGTAGGACTCCTAAAGAAGCTATGGCTTAAATACGTAAAGGCTACGGCATACCTAATAAATATAAGCCCGAGCTATATATATTATCTTCGCTCGCCTTATAAATTACTTAATACCTAGTTTACCGTTTACTTTAGATGATATATATCTACGCTTATAAAGGAGCTAACGAACGACCTAAGGCTAAACTAATACGGAATCTATACGTACGGGTATCGCGCGTATCCTTTATTAGGAAAACGCGCTTAAGATTTTAATAGAAGAGGGTTTAAAGTT